CTCATTAGATGTTCAGAGAACACACTCAGGGTGATACTTGAACATCTGGTCCAGCTCCCAGATGTGCATTCAGCATGGCCCTCCCAGGTGAGGGCAGTGCCCCCATCTCGTCTGGAGCCGAGGGTAACTACTGATAGTGCCACATGGACCGTGAGTAACCCCACCAGCTCTCAGTGCCTTTAGGCCCACTGGGCACGTGCTAAATGAAATCCTGGCCACGTTTACCCTGTGAGGACTCAGGGTCGTGTGGGTTAACTCGGAGTAGGGATGAGAGAGATGGGGTCGCTGCCTGTGCACGCTGGGTTAGGGTTAGACACAAGCTAGACACAGCACACCCTAATGAGAAAGAGAAGCCCAGAGGGGTTGCATAACTGCCCAGAGTGACAGGTGAGTGGCCGAGCGTCCGCCCCGACTCCCGCTCTGTAGCTGCCTGCTAGATCAAGGACTTATCAACAGCAAGGTGTAAGACAGCAAACCCAAGGGCCTCTGGTGAACTGGAGCTCCTCTCTTCCCAGCTGTCCCCTGACTGAAGACACCCTCCCTCTGTGGGCACCAGCCTGTCTGAAGAACAGGTCACTTGCCTTCTGAGGAGCACAGAGCTTGTGTGTAGAAGCCCTAAGCCAAGTGCTGTGACTGGTCCGTCCAGGTGCACACTGGCAACTAATGCCCCTCCCCTTATAGAGTTCTTGGCCCTGGGTCCCCTCTTCCTCAATCAGAGCCAGAGTCAGGAGAGGTCCTGGCCTGCTGGAGCCTAGAGGTAGAGGTGACTCAGGGCGCCATAGCCCTAGCCAAAACCATGGCCCAGGTGGCCCATGAGCGACAACACCGTACCCCCTGGGCTGTGGAGGTCACAAGGAGAGCACATGAGCAGGTGGGCGAGGAGAAGGCATGGTACCAGCAACCCCTGACTAATGCCGGAGCAGTGGTTTTCCTTAGCATGGACAAACCAGCCTGCGAAAGCCTCTTTAGCCAGGTGAAGCAAACGATTTCAGATCTTAGTGTCAGTGTTTTCCATGGAACGACCGAGCGCTCTGTAGGTGCTGCGCCCATGGCCGTGGCTGTCAGAGGAAAAGCGGTCCTAGCACTGCACAGGAGGTGCTCTGTGCTTTTTATTTGCAACTCTTGTCTCCCACCCGGGGACCCCAATGCAACTTGTGTATGATGGGGTGGGGGGAGGAATGGCAGTGACGCACGCCTTTAATCCCAGCACTCAGGAGGGGAGGCAGGTGGATCTCTGTGAGTTCGAGGACAGCCAGGGCTACATTATGTGTGTACTGAAGACACTGCACACAGGAACTAGAATCCTTGTGGACAGCATGTCCTTGGCTCCCAGCTGGCACAGCCCAGACAGTGTACACCTGGTGACATTTAGACAGCAATTCTGGGGACGCTGGAGGAAGGAAATATTTGGTGTGACTTGACATTAAGTCCTCTGGCTGGTGGTTCTCCTTTGCCAATACACTGATGTCTGTAAAGCGTGTAGGCCTAAAAATAGCTGCCAGGACTTGGTGTCACCCTGGATGAAGGGCACCTGCCCCATTTCCTGGGCTTTTGGATACCCTCATAATGTCACAGGGAGATGGCATCCTGGCAGAATTAGCAGGCACAGGCGGGGCAGATGGGGCCTCAAAAGGGACCACCCAATTGCTGCTCCCATGACATCTGCCCAGGGGTTCATAGTGAAACCAGGCCTTTCCTAAAAACGAAGTCCCAGCTGGCCAGAATAACAGATGTAAATCAGGACCATTCCCCCAGCAAAACCCAGCCTGCAGCTAAATCCCTCTGGTTAGCTGGTCCTGCCTACCGATGCTGTGGCCCCAGATGCTTAAGTTGCTCAGCCCAAGGTGCCACTGCCTGAGGACCTCACAGTCCAGGGCAGGGTGCTAGGGCCCCCCCCCCACGGGTGGTATTGTTACTCTTATTGTAAGGCCATAGCCTACATGACGTCCCTGCCTTCCCTTTGTGACAAAGGCTGGACAGTTGTCTGCTGGAGTGGACCGATCCCTTTCCTTCATGACACTTGACCCAAACATGACAGCCCATCGCCAGACACTCTGGCCTGTGTCTCCACACACTGTGGAAGGTGGGGCAGGGGTCCTTGTGCCTGGCACCCTCCAGGGACAGTGCAGATCTCATGAGCTCTCTGGTGACCCTAACGTGTTCTCTTTTGTGTACGCCACAGCCTGAGACCGAAGACGAGAAGAAGCGCTTTGAAGATGGTAAAGGCCGCTATCTGCAGATGAAGGCGAAGCGACAGGGCCACACAGAGCCTCAGCCCTAGGTGTCTTCCTCCTGTCCCTGGGGTCAGCACAGTTGTGGTGGCAGCCCCATGAGCAGTCACTTAGAAGTAACCCCTTGGCCAAAACCCCAATTTCCACTGAGAGCTGGTGTTGTATGAAGTATTGCGTGGCAGTGTTACCTTGCCCTGTTCCCAAAACCTGTGCACCAAAGCTTTATTTATATCCCTCCAGTAACTGCTCCCCAGTGTTGTCCCAAAGGCCACCAGGACATAGGGCACACTGAATGGTCTGTGAAGAAAACAGCACCACTAATAAAGATGCTGTCTGGCTGGACCCGTGACGCCTGGGTGGTCATTTGTTTGAGGTGGGGGGGTCTGTTTTCTCACTGGGGGCCCTGCCTCCTCGTGCAGCCTCAGCCCTCCATTCCTGGGGGCTCACTGCCTTCCTTCCGGGCTCCGCCCCTCCCATCACCAGCGCTGGAAACTCAAAGAGAGGTGCACTTGGGGCCTTGCATCTGAGTGGAATCCTGGCTTTCGTGGGAAGCTGCCTGTCTTGTGTGCACTCCCTTAACAAGGACTCCTTGTCCCTCTCCTTACTTATGGCCTAAGCAGGCGGCAGGTGCAGAGACTGTGCTGCCTGGTCCAGATCCCACATCTTCTGGGGGTCTCCCCGCTGCTCAGGCAGGGGCCACTTGGAGAGGCTCCTGTGGAATTCTTGTCGGTGGGGTCGGAGTGGCTGTGTAGCTACAGATAGGGTGTGTGTGTGTGTGTGTGTGTGTGTAGGGGAGCACATGTGCATGTCTGTTGCTGTATGAATATGTGGTGTGAGGTTCTGTGCACATTGTATCTGTGTTGCTGTATGTAGCAGTGGATGTCTGCTAAGGAGCTATCTGTGTCATCATTGGGATATATGCCTGTGCTTGTGGCCCAGCTGCCTTGGGGAGGGTGTGCAAATAGCCACCAAGGCCTCTCCAGGGGCCAGGACTCCACCCCCTACCCACCAAACAGCCAGAGGTGGCGCCTGAGTTTGTCCGTGAAGGCCAAACATGTGTCCTACCACATGGAGAAGGCAAACTCCTGCCAACAGCTGCAGCCTATCACACAGCTCCCGAGGCCCCTGGAGGAAGAACCCAGCTGCAGATGTGTGCAGAAATACACGCCAGGAGTTTCAGCTTCAGAATCTGTCTCGGCCTGGGTCCCAGAAGACGGGGTTACTTCCTACCCGGAAGTAGGGGAGGGAACCAACCCTTCCACATACAGCCACATATCAGCTCTGTCCGTCCCTCAGGTCCCTGAACAACTTTGAGGTCTCCAGTCTAAGCCACAAGTATACCCTCAATGCCATGAGGAGGCCTCTGGGGCCAGCAGACAGGAGCACAAACTCCAAGATCTTGAACCCAGACCCAGCCATTGTCCTAAGCAGGACCTGGGCTGTGGGCTCCCTGGGGCATGTCTGTCGTAGACAGCATTAAAATGCCACACTTGATCACAGCTGCCCTCTGCTGGCAATCTATTTATAACCAGGGTTGCCTGCGTAAGAGCCAGTGGTCCACAAAGGGGCCGAGAGCCCTGACCACGCCCGGGCAGTGTGGGGAGTGTGGGAGGGCTCACCTGGGACTATCCCAGCCCTGAACAGTAATATGAACCCTTCCTTTATATAAAAACAGATCTCGACTGTCTCAGACGACTGACCGTAAGGCCCACCCTGGCACCCAGGGTACAGGAGGTTAGCTACCAAGTAAGGGTAGCTTGCGGGACACCGGGCAACTATTGGATTGTAGTAAGTGTGGGTCTGATCCTAGGTACCCATCTTCCTGTGGGCACAGCTGTCTGGTCCATGGAGGATAAAGGGGGTTCTGTCCCACACAACCCTAGATTATGCCCAGAAGACTGTGTCATTGTATCTCCTGGGTGGAGGACCAGCTCCACTCTTACTGGAGAGGTCTTACGAGCTGCCAGGGAGAACAGGACATTTCCCTCTACGTAGGAGCCCTGGACTAGAGGTACAAGCCTGTGCCGGCCAGGAGTGTTACAGAAGCTGGATTCCAGGAGGGGAGGAAGAGCCAGGACTCAGGCTTCAGATCCCGGCTTCTACAAGTCAGCTTGGTTGGTCAAAGCCTCAGGGCAAGGCTGAGCCCATGGAAGAGGGCCATCACCCTGCCGCCCTGAGGTCCCTGCCCTGTTCCCAGCAGTGCCCAAGGCACAGGAGTAAGTTGAAACCTTTGGCTGGCCCAACACTGCCTTCTGCTACTCTTGATTCCTAGAAACCGCTAGTCCTCAGGCGCACGAATCCTGTCCCTCTCCTTGTCAAGAATGCTAACCTCTGACGTGGCTTCCTCCCTGACTCCCCATATCCCCTGTCTTGTGTCCTCTCCGAGTCGAAGCTCCCCGTTCTCTGGCCTGCGAGCCCCGCCCCTCAACTCCAGGCGGCTCAGAGGCGACTGCGCGAGTGACCCAGACCCAACAGCCCCAGCGTGGGCGGGTCCCATCGCGCGCTCTAAGGGGCTTCACTGCGGCTGCTGGGGCTACGTGGCTGCTGGGAGTGGGGGGCCAGTGCGAGGCGGCCGGGAAGGCGGGGCGCGGCCAGGGGGCGGCGCGGAGGCCCCGGCAGAGGCATGCGCCCTGGACCGCCCCCCGCCCCCGGCCGCCTGAGCTCAGCCAGCCGAGCGGCGGGAGCCGAGCGCGGCCGTGGCGGAGGCGGCGCCCAGGAAGGGAGGGCGGCGGGGCCGAGCGCAGCGCTGCGATCTGGCTGTAGGCAGCCGCCGCCAGGATGCCCCGGCCCGCGGGCCGGTCCGTCGCCAGCCACCTCCGCGGCCCCGGGCAGCGGGCGCTCAGTGCCGGGGCGCGGGAACCGCAGCCGGAGCCGGAGGCGGGAGCAGCGAGCTGGAGCCTCGGGCGCCCGAATGCTGGGTGAGCGCCGCCGCCCCGGCCCAGGGGCACCGAAGGGGAAATTCGGGCGGGAGGGCTGTACGAGGAGGCGCTGCGAGCACCTGGAGGGTCTCGGGGTCCGTCGGAGTGGCCGTGGGCAGCCTTTAGGGCCGGGACGCCCCACCAACAACAACTTGGGGACCTTCAGGGTAACTTCTCCGAGCCAGCGTCTCCCTCGGCTACCCGCCTCCTGGGCTGGCGGTGCAATCCTTGGGTGCTCGCAGCGGGCAGGCGTGGCTGCTTTGTGGGTCCCAGGCCCTTATGCTCAGCGTCAACAGAGGGTGCGGGTTGAGGCACAGCCCACCCACAAGCTGGCTTCCCAGCCGTCACTCGGACGCACGCACCCTCGAGCCTGGGAACTGGGAGAACTACTAGGGTCAGGCCGGTGGGGCTGCGCCTTTTAAGGGTGGGTAAAGAAGCCAACTGAGCCCCGGGAGACCGAGACCTGTAAGTGGGGTGCCAAGGGGCGTGCACTGCGCTCCGTCCAGCTGGGCCTTTGGAGATCCTTTGACAAACCAGAAGCCAGCTAGGAGAAGAAACAGCTAAGCGTTGGCTTTTCGGAGACGGGTGGGCGCAGCCCGAACCCGGGAATCCTTTCAACTTCTGGGTTCTCTTTGTTGCGCAATACAGCCCCGTGGCTCCGCGGCCTCATTGGCCCTGGACCGTGACGTCACGACCTGGCCCTACCCGCAGACCCTGCGGAGGGAGGAGGCTTCAAGGCCTGGGAGGGTCTCTAGATTGTCTCACTTGCTTTGTGCCCTGCCTTGGGGAGGGTGAGTTGTGAGGTCCCTGATATGGAGATGGGAAGCATCCTCCTGGAAATGTTGGAGATGCTTGGAATCCCTTGCAGAAGGAGTTCGCAGGCTAGAGTAGCCAAACCCCGATGGAGCCCAGTGGGGTCTGGCCCCCATTGACTGCTGCCCTAGGATCTGTGGGCATCAACAGCATATTCTCACCGCCATTTCACTTAAGGGATCTGATATCCGTCCCTCTACACTCCAGAACATTTCTCCCCTCCCAGAATACAGCCTCTAGGATTCCCGGGGTCAGATATGGCCTGCCCTGACCCTTTCCTCTCAGCTGCCCTCAGCTTGGAGGCGACCTTGTTGCCAAAGTTAGGATGTATCCTGCAGGGAGCATTGAGGTACCTTTTGGGGGACTTTTTAGAAGGTCTTGCGACCACGACTTCGGTGCTTGATGAATGCAGTTTGAATCCTGGCTCGGGTACATAAAGATATTCGCAGGTGATCACATCTGTCTCTGCCTCCATCAAAATTTCTCTGTAATGGGGATGGCAGCAGTACTGCCCATTGAAGATGCTGGAGAAGTGTGCCTTCCTCCCCTGCCCACAGATAGCCCAAGCTGCCTTGTAGAGCACTGAACTGAAGCCTGGGTGAGGGCCCCAGGCCTGATTATTCTCCATGCTCTCCTTTGTTTACTGACTGCTCACTGAGCCTCTACCCCCCCTCAAAGCACTTTGCCTGGCAGAGCTCACCAGCTCTTTTCAAGAAAGACACTGCCATGTCTGAATTCTGGACTGGAAAACTGTGGTGCAGAGGTGCCAAGTAGGGACAGGAGCTGGACTCCAGCTTCCTGAGTGGTTCAGTGGCCTTTCTCCCTCGCCTGTGTGGCCTCCAGTCTGCAGCCGGGAAGGTTGGCCAGACCCAGGCAGTGTGGTGGAAGGTACAGCCGGACAGAGCCATCCTGCAAGCATCGACCTGATAAATGTTTGGGCAGAAACCTCCCTCCCTGCCTGCAGCAGGTTAAATAGGCCCCTCCCCTGAGTCAGGGTCAGAGCAGGCCTGGGGCAGACACTGAAAAGTGAATGAAAAGAACCTACAGCAGGTTAAAAGAACTAAGCAGGCAAGGGCTGAGTGTGGTGCACACACCTTTAATCCCAGCACTGGGAGGCAGGGGCGGGCGGATCTCTGGGCGTTTAAGACCAGCCTGGTACACAGAGTGAGCTCCAGTACAGCCAAGGCTACACAGAGTGACCTTGTCTCAAAAAACATTTTTAAAAGAAACTGTAGGCAAGCCGGCAGAGAATGCCTGCTCACTTGGCCAGGACAACTTCGTTTTCCCTGCCCGAGAGCTGGGAATGAATCTTGCCTAAGGCTGCCATTGCCCATCAGCCCCAGCTGGAGGCACTGTGTGGGGCTGGATGTGTGTTAGGTTGAGTAGTGCAGGTAATGCCTGCTCCAAGATGCGGTGCTCCACACAGGGAGCCCGGGAAAGCTGCCAGGCTGTGGGAAGGACTTGCCAATCAGCCTTCTAGCAGTGTATGGCCCCTCCCCCACGTTTAACCTCCTGCCCAGGATCCTATGTCCATCTCTCTCATCTGAAGGCAACCTGAAGTTCCTTTGCAACTAAGGCCTGGGCTCTGGGGTGACTCCCGACCAACACTAGTCCATAGCACCCTCTGGGTGAGATCCAGGCCTCAGAGTACTCAACCAGACATGGGACACGGCGCCCAGCATGCCGCTGTCCCCTCACAGCATCCACTGTGTGAGATACCTGGGCCCTAGGCTTTAGACATGAGCTGTCCCCACGGATGCAGCATAACTGTCCTTGGGTGGGAACGCTGCCAGAGGTACAGTTCTGGTCACAGTCCAGCTGTGCCAAGGCCTGTGCAGAGGCCCGCTGTGAAAGAATGTATGCCCACTCCTAGGGCGGGTGTGAGAGTGGTGGCCATCTTATCTCTACCTCACACATCACCTGGGGGATTGGAGAAGGCAAAAGGAAGGTCAGAGTGCTTGGGTATCTGTGTGTGGGTTTCACAGTGGTAAGAGGGCTTGCTGTGAGACAAAACTAGGGCATACCTGGTCTTCACAGCAAATGCCAGGGTTGCATAGTGAGACCCTGTCCCTTAAAACCCAGACTGAGGATGGAGAGACGGCTCAGTGGTTAGGAGCACTTTCTGCTCTTGCAGAGGACCCAGGTTCAATTCCTAGCACCCACATGGGAGCTCACAACTATCTGTAACTCCAGTTCCAGAAGGCCCAACACCTTCTTCTGGCCTAGGAACACAGGGTATACAGACAGAACACGCATATGCATGCTATAAGGTAAATAAAGCCATTTGGGCCCAGCCTGACCTGAGACTGTAAGTGAACAGGTGGGCTGTTCTGGGCTGGAGGGATGGCTCCATGGTTAAGAACACTTTCTGTTCTTCCAGAGGACCTGGGTTCAGTTCCCAGCACCCTCATCAAGTAGCTTACTAAAACTGCCTGTAATTCGAGTTGCAGGGGATCTGACACCCCCTGTGGGCTCTGAAGGTACTGCATGCATATGGTGCATATAACATTCAGGCATACACAAGTACATAATAAATCTTTTTTAAAAAAATGTAAAAAAGGAAGCTCAGATGATGAGTGAGTGGAAGTGAGGGGATGTGCACTTATTTGGCACCCCTGTGTACCGCCCCTTGAGCTGCCTGCCCAGTAAGTGATGAGATCCTTCCGAGACGACAGCACGGTGTGAGCCAGAGCCTGTACGCAGGTAATGGCACCTGAGACTCTCCCATCTCACTGGGTGCTCTGCTCCCTCCCCAGCTGCTTGTGGCCCCCGGCATCGCCAAGCCCCCACATGTGAGGGCTGCTGCCTTTGGAGGAGGAGGAGGAAGGATGCCAGAGCCACTCTCCAGCTCCGGTCTGCACCATGAGTGATGAGCGGCGGCTGCCTGGCAGTGCGGTAGGCTGGCTGGCATGTGGAGGCCTGTCGCTGCTAGCCAACGCCTGGGGCATCCTCAGTGTGGGTGCCAAGCAGAGGAAGTGGAAGCCTCTGGAGTTCTTGCTTTGCATGCTGGCGGCCACACACATGCTCAACGTGGCAGTGCCCATTGCCACGTACGCTGTTGTGCAGCTGCAGAAGCAACGTCCCGACTATGAGTGGAACGAGGGCCTCTGTAAGGTCTTCGTGTCTACCTTCTACACCCTCACTCTGGCCACCTGTTTCTCTGTCACCTCCATCTCCTACCACCGCATGTGGATGGTCCGCTGGCCAGTCAACTACCGGTGAGCACAAGACAGCCTGGCGCATGCGCACGCACGCGCGTGTGTATGTATGTGTGTGTGTTTGTGTATGTGTGCGCGCGCGCGTGCTTGTGCGTGTGGTTTTGCTATGCCAGGGTGGGTAAGATGAGGGCTGGAACAACCCAGGGCTGCTGGGGCCTGCATGTAGAGTGTCACAGTACAGAAATGCCAGACGAGAGGGACAGGTGCATGAAGGGGAACATGCTGTGGGGAGACCACAGTCAGTGGGGCCCCTTCTGTGGTCCCTTAGTGTCCTGCGAGTAAAGCCAGGGCTCTCTCTCCTGCTCTACCTCATGCCAGGCTGAGCAATGCCAAGAAGCAGGCGGTGCACACAGTCATGGGCATCTGGATGGTGTCCTTCATCCTGTCCGCCCTTCCTGCCGTCGGCTGGCATGACACCAGCGAGCGCTTCTACACCCACGGTTGTCGCTTCATCGTGGCTGAGATCGGCCTTGGCTTCGGCGTCTGCTTCTTGCTACTGGTGGGTGGCAGCGTGGCCGTGGGCGTGGCCTGCACAGCCATCGCCCTCTTCCAGACACTGGCCACGCAGGTGGGGCACCAGGCTGGCCGCCGTGCCTTCACTGTGCCCACCATCGTGGTGGAGGATACACAGGGCAAGCGTCGCTCCTCCATTGACGGCTCGGAGCCTGCCAAAACCTCGCTGCAGATCACAGGCCTGGTGGCCGCCATCGTGGTCATCTATGACTGCCTCATGGGCTTCCCTGTGCTGGTGGGTGAGGTCGTTGGGTAGGCCCTGTCATGGATGTGGCTTCTAGAACAGCCTAGGGACTGGCCATCAGGTGGCTGAAGCTTCAAACCTGACTTCAGCCGTGAATTATTACAGATTTGGAAGGCAGAGTTCAGAGAGGTACATGACTTGCCGAAGTCAGGGTAGGTGTGGTGAGACTTGAACCCCTGTCAGCTGACTTGTATCTTTTTGTCACACTGCAGAGGTACTTCCTCCCCTCACCCCAGGCCCTTTCCAAGAGAAGCAATACCACTGCCTTCCCCTGCCCAGGTCCCAGGATGTGGCAGGTAGGTAGGGGACACTGAATTGACACAGGGCAGGCTCCCAATGTCTTCTCTGAAGTTGCATCTCCTCCTGAAGACTGGAGGAGGCTGAATTAAAGGCTCATTGGGCGAAGGCCTCGCTAACCAGTGGGGCTGCCTGAAGTCCTCTGAGCAGCCTGGACTGGGCTGGCTCATGACTGAAGTCTGGGGCTGGAGAGATGGCTCAGTGCAGAGGAAGATTCAATCCCAGCACCCTGATGGTACCCCACCCCACATGTGTCTTAAACTCCAGTTCCAGGGGACCTGATGCCCTCTTCTGACCTTCCACAGGCGCCAGGCACACATATGAGACACTGATACACATTCAGGCAAAACATTCATACACATAAAAATAAATAACAAATATTTTTTTTAAAAGACTTAAGTGAACACTGCAAACAGTCTCGTTGGGGCTCCTGGAGGGACAGGAGCCCGGGCCAGAGGCAGCCTGCCCACACAGCCAGGAGGGCTATGTCCCTCAGCCACTGCAGGGCAGTCCCAGAGAGGCGCAGATCAGTGGCTGCTTCACAGTCAAGGACCCCTGTGCTGTATCTGCGGCTCGCTCTGCCACCCTCCCCAGCACCCTCCCACTTCTCAATGTCAGAAGAGCTAGGAACCCACCCTGAACATCACAAAACACTGTAAAGACGCCTTAGAGGGAGGGGCCTGCCCCAGCATTTCCTTAGAGCTGGGAGGAGCCCACGGCCTGTCATAAACATTATCAACAGTCCTTACCTCAGGGCCGGAGAGATGGCTCAGTAGTTAAGAACACTGGCTGCTCTTCCAGAACCTGTTTTTGGTTCCCAGTATCCACATGGTGGCTCACAACCATCCATAGGCACACACATGGTACACGTATGTGTACATACATGCAGGCAAAACACATTAAAAAATAAATGCTTTAAAAGCATGAAACTATAAAAAATGTTTTTAAAAATGTATCCTTAGCTTGCCTTCTGTAGTGCGGGTGTTTTTAGTGCATTTCACAGACGAAACAGAGCCCCGGAGAAATTCAGTTGCTTTCCAAGGATTATGCAGATCACAGAACAGACATGGTGTACCCAATTTTGCTCTGTTGTGGCATGCTTAAACACTTTCCAAGCTGATGAGGGAACCCTAGGAAGAGCCCTTTGGCTGCTGGGTCTCTTCTGGGGTCTGATCTTATGGGCAGGGGCAGAGCTAAGGAGGCCACTGGCCTGGGAGGATACGGCAGTGACAGAAAAGTATAGGCTGCAGGCCTGTTTCTCCTGGACTCTCCCTCTGGAGAGTTTGTTGCTGCCCAACACAATGAGGGGTGATACACACAGCTGAGCTGTGCTCAGGAGGGACACGGGCCCCTGTCTTCATTCACTCGATGGGCCTTCTCCCCTGGAACATTCTGCAGCCACCTTCTAGGCCCTCCTCTGGCCAGTGGGTTATGGGCCCTGCTGTGCAGGTGGGGCAGCTGTGGCTAGGAGGGATGTTGTGGGGAGGGTTCTGGAGGTTAGGCCTAGCCCTGTGCCCACAGGTGGTGAGCTTCAGCAGCCTGCGGGCTGACGCCTCAGCTCCCTGGATGGTGCTCTGTGTCCTGTGGTGTTCTGTGGCCCAGGCCTTGCTGCTACCTGTGTTCCTCTGGACCTGTGACCGCTACCGGGCAGACCTCAAAGCAGTCTGGGAGAAGTGCATGGCCCTTATGGCCAATGACGAGGACTCTGACAATGGTAAGGATGTCCTCGGGGTGGCCTCTGGGGAAGGCAGCACCCGGGTGAGATCACTGGGTGTCACTCAAATAGTCATTTGGTATACCCCCACCACATGGCACTTAGGTGGCCCTCTTCACCGCCACCAGATATTCCCATGGCAATAGACTTTGCCTGTTAGCCTGTGTGGGTATTTAGTCCCAGGGAGTTCCTACCCCAAATCTCAGAGGAGCAACGTGTCAGCCTTTAGACTCAGCATTAATGTGTGCTGTAGATGGGATTTGAACTTGGAACCCTTGCCTGCCCTTTCCACAAACTACTCCCTACCTTATGGGGATCCCTGAAACCTTCCTGATGCTCCCCATTTTCATGGTGCTATGCTTCTGTCCTATCCTGCAGAGACCAGCCTAGATGGCAGCATCTCCCCTGACCTGGTACTGGAACGTTCCCTTGACTACAGCTGTGGAGGTGACTTCGCTGCCCTGGACAGGATGGCCAAGTATGAGCTTTCTGCCCTGGAAGGAGGCTTGCCCCAGCTCTACCCTCTGCGGCCACTGCAGGAGGATCGGATGCAGTATCTGCAGGTAGGTTGCGGCAAAGCAGAGGGGCCTCATAAGTCTGTGGTGGACTCTCTCCCTCTTCCCTCTCCCCCTCGCTTGCATGCACGCATACACGCACAGATCAGAGGCAGTGGATGGCTGTCAGCCTCTGGCTTGCCTCGAGGTCAGTCTATGTGGGTGGGCCCATCCCCGTGCTCTGGAAGAGGGGATCCATTGGTGTCTTTGCTGTGAACCTTCCCGTGAGACTTCTCCCCAACTGACCCAAGCTTCAGTCGACACCGAGGTTCAGGGAGGTTGTCACTTGCCCCAATCTCAAAGCTCCGATTCAGGGGGCCCTAGTCCCTGACCCACACACTGCTCTGCAGGGCGCGGGGAGGCATCAGTGCGGGTTTCCAGGAGGGCAGCCCCGTTTCAGCCCGGCCGGGTGCTCGCAGGTCCCGCCCACACGGCGGTTCTCCCACGATGACGCCGACGTCTGGGCGGCCGTCCCGCTGCCCACCCTCTTGCCCCGCTGGAGCTCCGGCGAGGACCTGGCAGTCCTGGCGCACCTAATGCTGCCCGCGGGGACCGACCAGCGGCGCAGGAGCCTGCTGGCTTTCGCTGAGAATGCGCCCCCATTCCGCCCGCGCCGTCGCTCAGCCGAGAGCCTGCTGTCCCTGCAGCCCTCGTCCCTGGACGGCGGCCCGCGTGGCACCCACGACTCGCCTCCCGGCAGCCCGCGTCGCCGCCCCGGGCCGGGCACCCGCTCCGCCTCGGTCTCGCTGCTGCCTGATGCCTTCGCTCTAACCGCCTTCGAGCGCGAGCCGCAGGCCCTACGTCGTCTGCCCGCCCCAGCCCGGCCATTCCCCGCCACCCGCGACGGCACGGAGCCTGGTGAGGTCCCGACGCCCCCTGGCGGCGGTGCGCAACGCAGCCACGGACGCAGGGCCGCGCGCGCGCACGCAGGGCCCCTGCAGACAGGCCTGAGCGCGTCGTGGGGCGAGCCCGGCGGTTTGCACGCGGCGGGCGGCGGCAGCACCAGCAGCTTTCTGAGCTCGCCTTCCGAGTCCTCGGGCTACGTCACACTGCACTCGGACTCGCTGGGCTCTGCGTCCTAGTGGTCCTCGCCAGGGACGCCACGCAGATGGGAGAGGCACAGCACCAAAGATGCTGGGCGCGTGTGCTGGGCACGTGTGCTGGGCGCGCGGACAAGTGCCACCCACCCTAGGGGTGGATGGATGGTGGACTCGGCACCCCTCTTACGGTTCTGATATCTCCTGGAGGAACAATGACCGCCCTTGACGGCTGCACGGGACGCCAGCCTGCTGCTGGGGACGGCATCTCTCAGGAAGGGACAGGCTGTGCCTTTGTAGTGAGTGGCATCTGCACGTTTAGTACACCTCCCCGGCCTTCTGAGACTAGGCTGGGGTGTATAGGGGATCCCGAGACCCGCCCACCATGAGAAAGGACGAAGTCCCTTCTCTGAGAAGCTTAAGCCAGAGCTGCTGGACAACATTCATTTCTACTTGCTCTGCACCTGCCTCATCTCAAGGGTGTGGCACGTAGAGCATCTGTAAGCACAGGGGTCTTCAGAACCCAAACAAGGCCTACTGAGCAGGCTTCCCTGTGACCTGCCTCAGTTTCCCTGTCTCTGATGTGTGGATGACCATGATACATCTCTCAGGGCTGTTTGAAGAACCCCCCTGGTCCTTGAATGGACCAGGTGTGAGAGGTAGCCTAGGACCCTTTGTGAGGGTCAGCCTTCAGCACATGGCCCCCCCAGACCTGAGGCACCCCTCCCCCCATCTCAATGGCCCTTGCCCTCTTGGAGATTGACCTCAGCTAAAGCACAACACCACCACCATGGGTATAACAGCCGCCTTGACCCCCACTAGTGTCCCCATGCTCCAGACTCCACCACATTGCCTGTCTCCCACTACTTCGGCCACTTCTGTGACCCTGCTGTGGTGCACGGAGCTAAAGTCGATGGAACCAGGCTCTGCTGTCCTGGTGTCCGTCTCCAGCTTTGCTTCGCACACACAGCGGCCCCACAGAGGGGGCTTACCCCTGTGTAGGCCCCCACCCACCTCCCCACCTGCACCCCTAACCCACTGCAAGGAAGGGCTGTGCTCTCCCCTGGGTGGACCTCTCTCTGGGCTTGGGCTGCTCCAGGGGAATAGCTCTTCCCGGGAGATGTCCAGGGTATGAGTTAGGGTGGGGTAGCCTTGCCACCATTCAGCAGAACCTCTGTGTTGGGACCTGGAGATGGTCTCAAGGCCAGCACAGAGCAGCCCTTCTCCTTTGCACGATGACCAGGCCCATCTCTTCTCCCTTGCACAGAGTTCTAAGTCCAGCTGCGTATGGGGGTGGGTGACTGCTCTGTCCTAGGCCTCAGAGGTGGCTGTAGTTCCTGGCTGTGGGGTAAATGAAGGATGAACCAATCCAGATGGTGAAGCAGGGGGCTACAGTCTGTCCATGTCTGGACACGGGAGAAGCTTTCTCCGGCTGTCTGCTGCTGTGCCTTCAGGGACTGACATCATGTAGGGGCAGGGGTCACCAGCTAGCCACTGTCTCCCCTCACTGGCCTCAAATCGTCAATTGATCACCACTCTCTTTTGTATTCAAAGGCAATACTTGTCATGGGGACATGGTCCTCATAAGTCAGTCCTACTTTTTACAGAACTTTAAGGGCAAACCCCACGCAGAGGACCCTGGATGACTAGGGCTCTTCCCCACTCCCCGTTCAGCCTCCCTGTTTGCCGACGCTCATAAGGACCTTGGCCATGGGTTACTGGTAAGAACGCTATCTAGACAACACCGCTCAGCCCAGAGTCTGGGATTTGTTTGTAGATTTTTGAAAAACAGCATTTCTCTTCTGTACAGGACCCAATAAAAAAACGTCCTCATGATTTGCACACCGCCTTCTGGGGCTGGTTTGCGGAAGGAAACCTGTTTCACAGGGCTAACCAGCTACTCCCCAAACCTCTCTCCGTCTACAGCCTGAAGTCTAGGCGAGTGTACTTGGCATTTCTCCAAGCAGGAGACCAGGGAGACAGACCTGGGCTCACAACGGTAGCAAGCAGTGGTCAGAGGAAATTTCCTGTGTCACGGTGGCTATCTGGCACCTATGTTTGGGGTCAGGGTTTATTTGATCGGCACTGTGATCTTGACCCAGTAATGCTGGTACTGGGTGTGCCCTTTGAGACCACTTTTAGATTCCAGTAGAATTCAATTCGCAGACCACTCCTCCTGGTCCTCGCTGAGAGGCCGCCACCTAGCGGTAGAGGAAGGAAGGGTCTTGAATTTTCTCCCACCGGCTAGCTAACCAGAGGCCGCCTGAGGTGGCTGGCCATGGCTGGACTCTGTACCGGTCCTTGCTTTAGAAAGCTCGATGTGTGGGGTGGGTTAGTGTGGGAGAGCCAAGTTGAGGAGAATCCTGAGTAGATCAGAGCGTGTTCATCCTCAATCTCTCCCCTCCATGGTCGCAGAGCATGGTAGGTAACAGGTACAGAGTTCTTTCCGAGTCTAGGGCTCAGAAGGCACTGTGTGGTCCCGGATACCGGTCTTTTTTGCAGAAGTGCCGAGGTTCTCACTGGCAATGCCAAGCAGCGATGGGTGGGACCTGGGACTCTAGATCGTGACGAGACGCGGCGTCCGAGCACGCAATGAACCTTAGAGGCGGAGTCCCCGCTCCGCTCCAGCATCCCACAGCCGTGGGCATCTGTGAAGGGAGGACCTTGGAGGACGCGTCCGCAGGGTGGGCCCCGTGCAGAGGGAGTGGGTTGCGATGGTAGTGAAAGGGTCTTGGGTGGGGGTGGGATGGGATGGGAGCCCCTTGCTGGAGGGGCGGAGCCCGGCGCGCTTTGTGCCTGTGGGAACAGAGCTCCCCAGGCCAGTTGAATGGATCAGGGCGGGGCAGCGATTCTCCTCGCTACTAGGGGTCCGCTCTGCGCCGCTGGCGACCGCGACCTTCCCACCGTGATGCAACCGTGGAGAGGGGGGCAGGGGCGAACTGCCAGCCCTGGATCCCTGGGAAAGGGGCACAGCCCACCCGTCCTCTCCTAGATCCCCTAGAGGTGGGGGGAGGGGAGCTGGTATGGCTGGTGGGTGGGGCTGGAGTGGGTGAATTCACCGAGACGTGGAGACCCCATCCACAAGTGGCTGTGTGGATTTTCCTGCAGCTCTACCAGGCCACCGATTAAGAGTACTGCAGTCACCATGGGTGATGGTGAGGGAAGGGTCTTGAGTCTGAATCTTTGCCTAGGCCTCACCAGGGCCGCCACAGCCCAAGCCCCTGCCTGGAGCTTTCCTCGGTCTGGCAGTTTGACGCTGGTTGTGGAGCCTGAACGCCGGCAGAGGACTCTGGGAGACCTCTAGGGAGAGAGAGCGGGGACAGCGGGGACTGAGAGCCACCAGCAGCAGGAGTCCAGACCGCGGGGAGGCAGGGGCTGAGAACAGAGACCGCCTGCGGGCTGGCGCTGTCCATGGTGCTACCTGCCCTGCGCTCTAGCACCAGGGGGCAGCGCAGGCCACTGCCGTCCCCTCCGCGCCGAAGCCGCTGGCTCACGCCTGGCAAGCAGCCTTGGAAGCCAGACGGGTAGTCGACCCCACCGGGTCCTGGCCAGAGTCCTGGAAAGAGGAGGGGAAGGGAGAATAGAGGTGTGAAGGATAAAAGGAAGAAGATGGTCTGCTGGGTGGGCACAGCTTTGTTCACAGGCTGCAACTCCACAGCCAGGCAGACAGGCCTTAGCTGCCCTTCCACACATCCACTCCAGCTAGGTGGTGGACCCTGCTCACTTAGCTATTCACTTCAGCTCTCCTCTCTACCTATCTCCCATCCCACCCCAGGCTACCACCTTATAGCTCAGACTGCTCTCCAAACCCTCCATCCTGCTGCCTCAGCTTCCCCAGGGCTGGGTTTACTGGCAAACGATGCCATGCCTAGCCCCAAGACTTCATGGCTAGCTCTCACACATCCCTCCCAATGTCGAGTTGTAGATCTTCAAACCCTGACTTCAATACCTTGCAATGAATTCTGAAGGCTTTTCATGTACTTGACACTCAGCTCCAGGATGTCAGCCTTTTCCAACTTCCGTTTCCGTATCTGCCAAGCCATAAGATACTCTTTACAGGCCGAGTGGAGAAGGGCTGGACCAACCGCTCCCTCCCTCTCCTGTCTTACCTGATGCGAGTAGTGTCTCTCCAGAAGACACTTGAGCTGTTCCAGTGACACGTTGATTCGAGCACGGCGCCTTTTCTCCATCAGAGGCTTGGAGATCTGTGGGCCAGCCAGTAGCTTTTAGAGGGAAGGCCTTAGCTTTCCAGGCCTCCACCCCCTCCAGCCCAGGGGTTCCCACCCCAGGGGTTCTCACTCCAAACCCTTCAGGATCCCAGACCTTTCGGAAGCTGCTGGCTGAACCACTGGAGCTACCCCTCGATGTGGGCTCAGTGCCCATTTTGTGGCATCTGCAGGGACAGTAGACTGCGTGGCCTTTATAGGGTACCTCGTTTACATGTCAATGAGGCTCTTGAAACTGGCAAAACCCAGAGGGGGAGGGGACAGAAAGGGGATGCAGAGGAACTGTCCCTATGTCCCTCTATGGGGCCCTTTCCAATAACCAATAACTCAGGCTGCCTCTGCCTTTCAAGATGTTTCCTGCTTCCCTACGAAATTCCTCCCCCCCACCACCACTGAAGACTTTTCCCAAGCCCATCCTCTCCAGGCATTGTTGAGCCAACTACTGTAGGTCTGAACCTCACCACCACCTCTACTTGCCAAGTCCTGGCTGCATCTTATCTTCCAACATTCTTCTGGTAGTCCTCCAATGTCACAAGGAGCTTTGGAGGCTGCATACCACCCTGAATGGTGAGGATGGAACCCTCATCCTCGCTGAAGCGATGAGTACTGGCCAGGGATGCCTTTCACGCCCTGCCATGCTGGGATACTGAATTACTCGCCCTAATGTAGGGACAATGTAGCAATTTTCTGCCTGTGGCTGCTCAAAGCCAACCTCAAGCAGGGCCTGTGGGGGCCACGCAGTAACATGTGTCCCATTAAAGCGTGCAGCCCGCCCGCAGGGCGCAGGGCCACAACGAGTCTCCTCCTTCCAAGGACCCAGTCACTGGTGATAGAACCCAATATGGGGGCTTCCAGCTAGGAAGCAGACCACCCCACTTTCAGCCCTGTCTGGGCTTCCAGGCTTGTAACTCTGGTGAAGGACCTGTCTTTAAGAGAAAAACACCTGAGCCAGCTGTGGTGGCGCACGCCTTTAATCCCTGCACTCAGGAGGCAGAGGCAGGTGGATCTCTGAGTTCGAGGCCAGCCTGGTCTACAGAGTGAGTTCCAGGACAGCCAGGGCTACACACAGAAACCCTGTCTAGGAGGAGAGAAACAGAGACAGAGAGTGGGCACCAGCAATTTGGGTTCAGTTCCTGTGTACCTTCTCTTAAGTTCAATGAGCATGGAGTCGGGGTTGGGGACCACTTGATGGCTCTGAAAGGCCAGACTGCATTGTATGTCCCTGTACACCTTCCATTTCCCATGCTGCGAGGACACAAGAGGCTCTGGGACCACTTGCTATAGGACAAGGCTGCAATGCCCTCACTCCACTCCCATTGGATTGTGATTGACAAGGCTGACTCCAGAGAAACTCTTGGGTTCAAACCTAGATACCTCCTTTTCTTGCACTCTCCTGGTCTTAGATCGGGAGCCAGGAGACTGAAGAGGCATCCCTGACATTCTCTGTGGTCAAGACATGAAAGCAATGGCCTCTGAGGGTCATTGTTGGGGCAAGATGCCCCCAAACCGGGCATCTTTCTGACCCCTCCGCTCCCCACCCCCACCCCCCGCTCTGGGCATTGACGGGCCTTGTCGATGCGCTCCTAAGCGCCAAGCAGCGTGGAGAATCGAGTCCCGCCCTCCCCCTTTCAGGCCTGGGCAAAGGCGACCAGAACTCTGGAACGTTCTCTCTCCCCCTCCCCCTCCCCGCCGCCGTTGGGTGGGTGGACCAGATCCGGGTGGCTTGTACTCTGGATGATGACGGGGCTGAAGCCCAGTGACGAGCGCTGCCACGCGCCGGGTAGGTTTAAAGCGCCAGCCGGGCCGGGACTGCCTCCGTGCGCCTCGCTATCTATAGCTTTGGGGAGGTACAAAGGCGCCGCGGGGCAGGCGGGCGAGGGGCTCGGCACAAAGGGGGCAGCCGAGTGTTAAGGGCATTGTGCCGGTTGCACAAAGCGGCGCCCGCACCCGCGCCCGCCTTCTCGGGGGCCAAATTCCCGGCTCCCCGCGGCGCACGGACTTCCAGCTGCTGCACATCTGTAGAGATGCCGGGCGCGCGCCTCACCTCGACGGGTCCGCTCCACCCACCTCGCTCTCAAGTCAAGCCAGAAGCGGGGCAATTTGTCTTGTAATTACAATACTTTCCCATAAACTGCTGCCCGCGCCTTTGAGTCCGGTGCATTAGCAACCCAATAGTTCTGCGCTCAGCTTTCCTGGCGCACTGCGGGGCGCTGGGCACTGGTCCCGCCCCCTCTCCAGAATTAGGGTCACTATAAAGTCCCCCTCTCTCGCTCCCACCCGCACCCCCCACTGTCTAGGTCATCACCCCTCACAAGGCTATGCCCAGGGATCCCGGCTGCACTGGGTGGGGCCGTTCATGTGGGTGGCTAAGTGTTTCTCAGGTAGTGGAAAATTGACCACAAAATGTACTAATCTGCAACGTTCTGCTTTGGCTGGGGGAAGTGAGGCCCGCCGCCACGGGGCCAGGACCCGGTTCTCAGAGGTTGCCCTCGGCTAGAATCTGTTTCTGCAGCGGCATCGCATCGTGCCTTCTGCTGCTCCTTTCCCGTGGGCCGGTCCTTGGATGGGGGTCTCTCTGCCAGTGCGGACCTCCCTGCTTTTCCTTCCTTTGGCGTTACAAAACACCTGCGATGCTTGCGCCTGTGGCTGTGCAAGCTCCTGACCAGGAGGGACGCCTCCATCTCCCCATTCCCCTCCATTTTCTCGCCCTCCCAGCTCCAAACCAGTCCCCTTCCTCCCACTACAGTAGCTTCCCTCACAGCTTCGTCCTCTAGGCAGCCTCTTCTTCCACTAAGTTAGAGCCAGACCTTTACAACCAGCAAGGTCAGTGGAAAAGGTGACAGGTAAAGAGATGCAGGAGGGACATCTCACCTGCACCGGCAGGCAGTCCTGAGAGAGAGAGAGAGAGAGAGAGAGAGAGAGAGAGAGAGAGAGAGAGAGAGAGAGAGAGAGAGAGAGTCGTTCCCAGAGGTGAGGAGAGACAGCTGCTCACCTTACCCTCCCCGAGCAAGCTGGGCACAGTACTGTCTTTGAACTGCCCTGCCGGGAAGGTCATAGACCAACTTAGAAACCCTGCTTATGCAAACCAGGATGTAGGCCACCAACTCCCTTTCTGTCTTTAGCACTCAGGGTCCCCAAGGTACTTGGAAAGAGTACAGGCCCAGGAGGAGCAAGGAAACCCAGGCCCCTTTTGCTCATTCAAGGGCAACGTTTGCTGTCAGCCCACCCTAACCCCACCCCTTCTCACAGCCAGGGATTTGAGGGTGAAAAATGACCCAGTTGGTGCCTTTGTGTCTTTCCCATTTGCGTTCTCTGCAAAAGGCACACACGGACACAAAGTGGAGAAAGGGTTTGATGAAGCCCCCCCCCCCCAACAAGGGCCCTACCAGACACCAGCCCTTGGCCGCCCAGGGTCCCGGTGCCACCAGCCCTTCTTTCCTGCACATCTGGCTTTATGCCAGTGCTGAATGACGAGCCTGGCACAGACCGCTGTGGGTGCTGGTGGTAACTGGAGAAAGAAGCCTGTTCCCCTCTGCAGACGTGCTTCAAAGTGAGACGAAGTGATTGCTGTGTAATTAACTATCAGGGGCATGGCAAAAAGCCCCGAAATGACTCAGGTGATTGTCTCCAGATGGGGCTGGAGAGGCTGCAATTGTTTAAGGCTCTTTAACTGCGTTGAGGCTTTGAATTGTACAGCAGCCAAGGGCCCTTCAGGGGGACAAAAGCTGGAACTTCAGTAAGTGCATCAACACTAGCCAGGCCAGCCCAGCTTAGGAAGAGTGAATTCAGAGAGACCCTCTTTGTCCTAGTCTTTTGTGTCTCCCCCAAGCTGGCTCCAATCTTTAAATATTTACCCGGCCCCTTTGTGCACATGTGACTTATGCACCGAGGGGCCTGTGTACTCATAAATCACACATCATTTACCAGACTGGAGAAAGCTTTCATTCCTCCATCCTGTGATCCTGTGACTGCTGGAGGAGGAAGACAGGAGGAAAAATATTCTTTTCTTTTTCTTTCTTTCTTTCTTTTTTTTTTTTTTTTTTTTGGTTTTTCGAGACAGGGTTTCTCTGTGGCTTTGGAGACTGTCCTGGAACTAGCTCTTGTAGACCATGCTGGCCTCGAACTCACAGATATCTGCCTTTTGAGTGCCACCAATGCAGGCTTAGAGGAAATTTTCTTTTGGAAGACGCGGCTGTCCCCAGTGCAGATCCATTGCCATGCTGGGCAGACTCCTCCCCACTGCGCTCTGGATGGGCCAGAGGTCCTGAATAGCCAGGGGGAAACAGCCCTGTGCAAATGACTGATCTAGCCTCCACCACTGGGGAGGGGGATATGAGCATCCTGGGCTTTCCTCCTGCTTGGTTTCAGGCTTGAATGATAGAACACGGGCCAGCTTTCATCCTGGGGATTTTGTGTGCAGGATGCATGGCATGTCAATGCTGATCTCATCCATGCTTCTGTGTGCCTGCCTTGGGCTCACGCTCCTCTCCATACTCTCTCTTGCTCAGTGAAACCGTGGTGCTGGGGAGATGGCTCAGTGGTTAAGAGTGCATACTGTTCATGCACCTGTAACCCCAGCTCCACTGGCACCTGCACACACACACACACTCTCTCTCTCTCACACACACTCACACACACTCTCTCTCACACACACTCGCACACATACTCACACATACACTCTCACACACACTCTCACACACACTCATACACACTCTCTCACACACACTCACAAACACACACACACAAGCTGAGTCTTAAAAAGACTGACAGTTTATTTCATCTTAGCTTGTGGCTCAATTTGGAAACGCTAAGGTGGTTCTTAGTGTTGGCAATGAACAGTGAGTCAAGCTGTATAGGGCAAGGGCCCCCTAGCCATTGTGAAATGCTTGGCCCCAACCTGACCATTCAGCTCCACTTGCAAAGCAATATGTCCAGGTTTCAAAAACAGTCCAACCTGCTTCCAGTCAAAAGACAAAATACCTGTAACTTCCTATAGCGATCTACATATGTGTGCGTGTGTACACACGTGTCCACAGCCTCTCTAAGTGCACACGGCCTTCATCCAGAGGAAAGACTGGGCCCCTCGCTGTTCCAGGTCAAGTCTGTCTGCCTCAATTTCCTTACACTTGTCCCAAAACAAGACAGCTTCCACCTGGGCCCAGACAGGATGACTGCTCTAGCCAGGGGTGGCATTTAAGGATGGGGAAGACATGGGCCACAGAGGGACCCTACTGCCTGAGAAAGATCCCCTTTTGTGCTTGTCTGGAAGCTGCTAGAACAAAACACATTCAAATGCTTATTTTCAAGAAAAGGGGAGGTGTACCCCAGAACTGGGCACTTTCCCGTCCTCCCTTCCCATCCTGGAGCTCTATCGCCTCCTGCATTGGATGAAGAGCTGGATGAAACCCAGTGAGACTGTTCGGTAAGACTCCCTTCCTCTCTGGTGGGGAAGCAGGCCTGTGTTTCCCTGTGCATCTGGATGTAGCCCTCTGTGTGTGTGACTACCCCTCTGGGTCGGTGCACGCTCTCTGACTATGTCCCTGGGTATAAGTGTGTTCTCCGTGTGACTGCTCCTCTGGGCGTGTGCTCTGTGTATAACTGTTTCCTTGGGTGTATATACTCTTTGTGTGTAACTATATATGTGAGCGTGGCTGTTTCCCTGGGCATATGTACTCTGTAACTGTTTTCCTGGGTATACACATCCTCTGTGTGTCTGCTTCTCTGGTTATACACATGCCTGGATGTGTGTAACCCTGCCTGCTTCCCTGTCTGTCACTGCACTGAGTGCCAGGCCCTGAAGTTTCAGCAAAGCCAGCGAGCGACCCCTAAAAAGTTCACATTCCCTGAGTGTAGCCCACCTGATAGAGCACATCTCCCCTTCTCTGACCTCTAGGGTAAAGGAACTGTGACCTCATGGGGGGGGGGTGACAGGCAGAGGATGTGGTTCAAGCTCTCGGGTCAGTTACATTTTGCTGGTCGCCTAAGAGTGGAGATCAAAAGCTCAGGGCCTGAGAAGGGGCTTCCTCCCAGGGAATAAGTGAGGGGCAACAAGCGCCCTCTAGTGGCTCTGACATGTCCTGGCTCAGGGGAGAGGTCCTGAGTCTGGGGAGGCCATGCCGGACAAGCAGGAGCCAGAACTCCTGCTCTCAGACCGGTAACAGAACAGCCCAGGCCTTTTTCCAGGGTAGCCCGGCCACTCAGTCACCCTTGTGCCCTGGTCAAATCAACACAGCCTGGTCATCTGAGAAGAAAGCCGGCTGTGGACAACATTCCTCAGGCAGGTGGTACTGAACTTTTGATTTCACAGAAGTTAGCTAAGGATGAGCAGACAGAAAGCAGCGTTCCTCCATGGCTTCTGCCCTGACTTCCCTCAGTGATGACCCATGACCCGGAAGTGTTAAACCAAATGAACCATTTCCTCCTCAAGTTCCTTTTGGCCAGTGTTTTATCACAGCAACAGGAAGGAGGCTAGAGAGCCTTACTTACATGTGTGTGTTGCTGGGATTTCACTGTACCTGAACCATTAAATCTCTTTCTCCTTCCTATCACCTCACTTTAACAAATGTCTCCCCACGCACAATCGCAACACAGTGCTGGCTTTGTAAACTACGGTGTCATTCTCCCAGGCACTGTCTACCAGTGAGGGAAGTCAGGGCAGAATGGAATCAGGGGCTCAACAGAAGTCATGGAAGTCACGGAGGAGGATGCTCTACAGCTGGCTCACTTGCCCATGCTTAGGAACACCTGCCCAGGAATGGTGCCTCACACACTGGGCTGGGCCTTCTGACTTCAATTAGTAATCAAGATGACACTTCACAGATATGCCATGGACCACGTGGTGTTCCCAATTCCTCAATCAAGGCTTTTCTTTTTTTTTTTTTTTAATAATTCTTTTATTTATATTTTATTTGCAATGGGGTTTTGCCTGTATGTATATCCATGTGAGGGTGTCAGATCTTGGATTTACAGACAGTTGTGAGATGCCATGTGGGTGCTGGGAATTGAACCTGGGTGGTCTGGAAGAGCAGTCAGTGCTCTTAACCACTGAGCCGTCTCTCCTATCCCCCATCAAGGCTTTTCTTTTCAGATGGCTCTGGGCTGTGTCAGGGTGACAATTAAGGTTAAGCAGGACAATGGATGATTGTCAGTCCAAGATGGAGAAATGAGGATTCCATTTTACAGGAAGACGAGGTTCACAGAAGTTACCTGCCTGCTGCCACCAAGATAAGATGTAAAGTACTGGAGCCTGGGATACCAGCCCAGGTTCTGCACTCCTATGCCCATACATCAGGGCTCGCCACAGCCACAGCGGCCTGTCTGGGGTCAGTCTCCCATCCTGCTTAGGCTTGCTCCTTCCCGCCTCTGCCTTTCAAATCGCTCTTGGTTCCCCAGTGATTCATCACTTCCAGGAGCTGGTAGGGACAGCTCCTAAAGTCTTCCACACACCCTTCCTATCCTGTAGCCCTCGTACCCGCCGGTTTCTCTCCTGGACTCAAACCAAACAAACCCCACACTCCATGGACTGGGGAGATAACTCGGTTAGTAGAAGCATTCAGTTCAGTCCCCAGCAACAGACAAAGTCTGGAGTGATGGCTCACCCTGAAATCCAGCCTTGGGGTGGGGGCGTGCAGGGAGGCTGGATGAGTTCGAGGTCGTCCTGGGCTGCAGAGGATACACTGTCTCAAAAGCAAAACAAGACTGGGTGTGTGGCCTGTGCCTTTCATTCCAGTACGAGGGAGGCAGAGGCAGGTGGATCTCTGCGTGGTGGATTCCACCCAGACTGGTAGAACCCACACGGCGTTGTGCCACGCAAATATATACAAGCACTGTATAAATTTAAAATGATACACAAAAAAGTGCAGGAGGACTTCTGGCTTTAGCACTAAAATCTTCACTATAGGCAGTATGGAAAACGCACACATACAAAACCTATGTATAGGTCAATGAGATCCGCCCAGAATGCTGCTACCTAAAGGTACAGACAGATTTCCATCGTTCCCCAGGCTTTCCCCCAAATCAAGCACCACAAAGTTTGGCGCGCTGTCTGGAGAGGCAAACGAAAAATATACATATACATAAATAAATAAAAACCCTATTTATTTCCACTTAGGAGGGGGTGACCCCGTTTCCCCGCACGCTGGTCTTGAAGGGTCGTCACCCGGTCCGCGGACCCCGCTCGCGCCTGCGCGGGGCCCGGGTCTGTTTTGGGACCGAGGCACGAACGAGTGGTCGGTTACGCCCAGTTACGCTCCGGACCAGGGCCCTAAACTTGGGACGGACCGCGACAAGACGACCAGGCAGGCTACTTCCGGGATGGCCCGTCGCCCTCTGCTGACGTCATGGCCCCGCGGCTGCGGGGGCGTGCCGCTCGCTCGCTCCGAATCCCGGCCCTCCGGCGCTCGCGGCACCATTCTCGCGAGAACTCGCGGGCGGACAGCGCACGGCTCCGGGTCCCTGCCCTTCCCGAGCCGGCGTCAGCGGCGGAGTGCGCAGGCGCGGCCTGCGGGTTTCCCCGGCTACAGTCGGCGCTCCGGCCCGCTAGTCCGCCGCCGGCTCTTCCGCCGCCCGCCCTGCGCCATGGCGGGCTGCGCGGCGCGGGTTCCGCCGGGCTCCGAGGCGCGCCTCAGCCTCGCTACCTTCCTGCTGGGCGCCTCGGTGCTCGCCCTGCCGCTGCTCACGCGCGCCGGCCTGCAGGGCCGCACCGGGCTGGCGCTGTACGTGGCCGGGCTCAACGCGCTGCTGCTGCTGCTCTACCGGCCGCCGCGCTACCAGGTGCGGGCCGGGTGCGGAGGGGCGGACGCGGGGGACGGGTGCACCGGGCAGGGCGGGACGGGGTGGCTGGCTGATCCGGACCGGGGACGGGGACAGGGACAGGGCGGACCGGCAGAGCTGGACCGGGGACGGGTGACCGGGACCAGGCGGGCACGGGCCGGGTGAGCCGAGGAGGTGGGGACCAGGGCAGGGCGCGCCGGGTGCGCTGGAGCTGGAGCCCGGGCAGATGAGCCCGGGGGACAGGGACCAGGGACGGAGCAGGCGGGGACCCGGCAAGGGTGGGCGGGCCGGGTACATCAGAACCAGGCCGACTGGGCTGAGTAGGTGACCTGGGGACCGGGACCCGGCTGGCGCGGAACAGGGAGTGGGTTAAAGGAGCAGTGTATTACCGAGCCTGGCGGTGGTCGCCTCACCTTTTAGCCCCCCTCCCGCGCCACGTTGCCGGACTTCTCCCCCAGGCGTGCATCTCAGCCGTGAGTTGAGGTCACAGGGGGACCCGCTTCTCCTAGCTGTGGGTGTTAATTGCATTCCCTGCCGGTCAGCAGCTTCACGTCAGGTGGGAAGTGAGCTAACCCACGGGATTTTATTTTATATAACGACAGGTGTGGTGTTTTACCACCTACTGGTCCAACGCCCCATTTCACAGAGGTGACTGGGGCAGTATAGACCATGAATTGGGCTTGAACAGTTTTCCCGTGGACAGTCCTGCTATTGCTAGCAGTAATAAGTATCGTGGCTGTTAAAACTGGTTATTCTTAGAAGGTGTTTTGTCTGCCCTACAGTACTGTTATTTCCATTGTGTAGATGGGTAAACTGTCATTTAAGTAAACTTGCTGAAGGCGAGAGAGAGAGAGAGAGAGAGAGAGAGAGAGAGAGAGAGAGAGAGAGAGAGAGAGGAGATGTAAGAACACAATTTGAACCCAAGCAGCCGCATTTCATCCTCTTTATCTCGAGCAAATGGACCCTGCTCCCGGATGGCGTTGCTAATCCTGGACAGTGTGCAGTCTGACTTTGGGCTCTGCACATGGAACTTCCGGTGACTGAGGCTCTTCTGGGTGTATTTTCAGATAGCCATCCGAGCTTGTTTCCTCGGCTTTGTGTTTGGCTGCGGTGTGCTGCTAAGTTTCAGCCAGTCCTCTTGGAATCACTTTGGCTGGTAAGAAAGACTTTGGGAATGAAGGTGTTGAGGTGAGGGTCGGCAGAGTAGTGGGTGAGTAGGGGCCTCTCCTCATCCTTGCCTGGGCTCTGACAACAAGGAGGCTGGTTAGGAGTCTGAAGAAGCAGCCTCCTGCCTTCTCTGAATCCCCACGTTTCGAATCTGGTGAACACAGTTGTGCATGTTGGTGGATTTTGTGGTGGATGGAAAGGGGTCCCCCTGTGCCCTCTCCAGAGGTTCCCCGCCATTGGAAGCAGCCGCGATGAGCCATTTCCTGAAGGGGTGCAGGTCCGCGGTGATGGGAAGGGGCGAGCCTCCCGCTGTTTCCTAAGCCTTCTCCGTCTCCGGTTTCCATTAGGTCCCGGCTAGTGCCTCCCCCACAGCCAGTGTAGGACTTTCCCCTACACTATGAGTTCAGTCCCTTGAGCCTTCTAGCCTCTGACTTGGATATGAATCGTGGCTTCAAGGTAAAACGCTTTATCTCCTACTATCAGTACGCTGAGCCGTCTAATCCTTCTTTGCTGGAATTATTTTAGTTCTGTTGAATTTTGTTTCCAACATGCATCACTACTTTGTTGATATCCTTCCCTTTCATGTTAAAAATGTGCAGTTGTCATATTAAAAGCAGTAAAGGGACCATAATTCCTCCTTCACCTATGGAGACTTTTGTTTTGTTTTGTTTTTCTTTTTAATTTTGTCTGTGACATTCAGAAACATAACAGCACCACTCAATCCCCACTTTCTGCGAGCTCCAGAGGGAACAAATGGCATGTCTGCCTGCCTGGTGTCACTCAGGTGGGCGACGGCAGCAGCGCATGGCAGGGTTAGGGACAGCTCAACAGATCCAGACCTGCGCTCTTGCCGAGCTCAGTTCCCCTGCCCGGCCTACCGCTTTGTTTCTGTTCTGTCTCTGCACAGGTACGTGTGCTCGCTGTCCTTATTCCACTATTCTGAGTACTTAGTGACAGCTGTCAATAATCCCAAAAGCCTGTCCTTGGACTCCTTCCTCCTGAACCACAGTCTGGAGTACACAGTGGCTGCTCTTTCTTCCTGGATAGAGTTCACACTGGAAAACATCTTTTGGCCAGGTGGGTGAGCCCTACTTGCCTGTCTGGAAGAGGAGGGTGCCTTCCTTCAGGCTCAGGAGAGTGACATTGGCTAACCTTTCCAGTCTAATCTCCCCTGAGCAATTCTTCCCAGCCCTTGCTCCTCCCTAAGCTATTTATAAAGGACAGACTCCACTCACTGGAGAGCTCTGCTTCTGGATTTTGAATCCAGGACATGTTGACCTTTTGCTGTAAGCCTTGCGATTTCAGGGCACTGCCTAAGACGGAGCCCCACCTTGCTGGTTGTAATCTTAGCATTGCCATTGGGCTAGATGAAATCTGAGCCCCAATACTTTTCTGGAACCTGCGAATTTCATACAGTTTTATTATAAATCAAAACAAAACCTCTGTATTGGGAACATACCTAAATCGAACTTCCCAAGGCTGGGTGTGGGTCCATGTGCCGACTCGGAAACACACGGGCCTCCTTCTTTCGGCTGCACGCTCCCTGGGAAAGGGTGGGTGAATGGAGCCCCTCAGCCCACGCAGGGAGAGCTGCTCGCAGTCGACTCATTGGCGCTTGAAACAGAAAACCGTGGTGCTGGTGCTGGGACCGGTTTTCTGATCGTTCAAGTCTAATGTGATGACAGATGCTGATTGTCCACAGGGTGCTTTCTGGTGTCTCTGTCCTGAGGAGGAGAGGTCCGTTTCAGGCGGTCATCAGCGCCCCGCTGCCCCCACTCCCACTCTGTCCCTGTGTGTCTCTGCAGACCTGAAACAGATCACCTGGCTCAGCACCACAGGGCTGCTGATGGTGGTGTTTGGAGAGTGCCTGCGGAAAGCGGCCATGTTTACAGCTGGCTCTAATTTCAACCACGTTGTGCAGAGTGAGAAGTCAGACACCCACACTCTGGTGACGAGTGGGGTGTATGCCTGGTTCCGGCATCCCTCCTACGTGGGGTGGTTTTACTGGAGTATCGGGACCCAGGTATGGTACCAAAGTTGACACTGGTTTCCTATGAATTTACTTTTTTCTAAGTTTCTTTCTTTTTTGTTATCTTGACACAGGGTCTTGCTGTGTAGGCCACGTTTACTCAAGCTTGTAACCCTCCTGTGTAGACCACTTGACTGTTTTGTTTCTGAGACTGAAGTATAATTGGCATACCATCAAACCCATCATATCTAGGTGTGCATTTAAGTCGTTTGTTGTTGTGTGCAGGTGGCTTGTGGCCTCATCTTGTGCTCCCTGGTGTGTCCCAGGCGGTCACACCTGATCCAGTTAGTTGCTGGGGCGTTTTAGAGGTGAAGTCTGGGTGCTGTTTTAAATCATTTATTTTAAGCTTGAGGACGATTTATTCTTTTAAAAAGGAAACCCCAGGGCAGCAGGTGGTAAGTCTGACATCTACCAGGAGGTGAACACACAGGTCAGCCAGCTGCAGGGAGGCGGGCAGAGATGGCAGCCAGCTGCAGGGAGGTGAGCACAGGTCAGCCAGCTGCGGAGAGGTGAGCACAGGTCAGCCAGCTGCGGGGAGGGAGGAGAAGAGAAAGGGGCAAACCTGGCTTCCTGCGTGGCATGTGACCCCTGGCTGCAGTGGTGCTGTGCTGTTTCTGCCACCCTGACTGGAATCTGGAACGCTTCCGGCGAGGGAAGGCAGGCGTGGGGAGGGAATGTCCTCAGCCACCCTGTGATGGCTCAGTGGGTTTTCATCAAAAATAGGTGCAAAAGAGGCCAAGGTCCTGCCAGGTTAATGAGAGCTGTGGGGTTTGCTCTGTCTGGGGTACAGACCAAACCCTTGTTCCTTGACACCTTTGTCTGCATTCTATACTCCGTCCTAGAACAACCTGGCCACACAGTGCATGTAAATAGAGCCTGGGAGAGTCACCTGGGGCCCTCAGACAACCCCTCAGTGGTACACAGGCCATGGGGAGCCTGGTGATCCTATAATGGCGTAGGAGGTAACGAATGTCTTTCAGAGCTCATGTGTCTTTGAGACATCGTGCTGCTCCCCTTGCGGTCACAGCCCTGGGATGGCACTGGTGACAGTTGATGAATGTTATTTGTCCTAAGTGCTAATGCGACCTAAGGGTTTTAGAGCTAAGGATTTTTCATACCTTTTAGGCGATAGGTATTTTCTGCAGTGTGCCTTGTGCGTGCGTGTGCTCGTGGAGGACGAGTCTTTCCTGCAGTGGTACTTAACTTATACAGAACACTATTTCTTGTCTTGACTGTTTGAAACGTCTGCTGATGACGCACTGAGAATTGGTTTCCCCGGCTCAGTAGAAGGAAGCCACTGATGATTAAGAACCCTGCCATCAAGGCTGCCCAGAAAGCTGCACACATCTGCTAGATGTGATGGCACAGATGGGCCAGGCCTGGCCACTGAGGCCTTCTGTCCCCTGAAAGCCAGGACAGTAGTGTGGGGACAGTGCTTCTGAGTCAAAGATGGGTTGAAGGCTGAGCGGCTTGGCACGCCAGTGCTCAGTGAAGAGTGCAGGGTGGTGAGAAGGTGGAGAAGTACCACTGGACGGGTCCTGATGCCTGGAATGGGTGTGGGTGGGGTGGTGGTTTCCACGGCAACAAAGGAAGCTTCTAGAGCTGGGGATGCTTTCAGCTTTGAGGGACTTTGCGGCTGGAGGACTAGGTTAGAAAGGGGATGGGGATTAAAAAGAAGTTAGGCACAGCTTTTGTGACTTGTGCACTGCCACTGTCTGAGTTGAGTGACCCTGGAGTTCAAGCGGGGGCGTGCGTCAGCCATAGTCTCTCACCATAACCGAGACCTTGCTTACTGGAGAATCACAGACAGGTACAAAATGATACAGTAGTGAGGGTGGCTCTGAGGAACGTTGACGGCTCTCACAGAGAGTCTTGTGGGCCCCGGCAAGAAGCCATGTGGAGAAGGTGCCTGGGCATCAGGCTGCTCTGACTGTGGTCATCTTGTGCTCCTCTGCCAGGTGATGCTGTGTAACCCGATCTGCGGTGTCGTCTACGCCCTGACGGTGTGGCGCTTCTTCCGTGACCGCACAGAAGAGGAAGAGATCTCGCTCATTCACTTTTTTGGGGAGGAGTACTTGGAGTACAAGAAGAGGGTGCCCACGGGCCTGCCTTTCATCAAGGGGGTCAAGGTGGAGTTATGACGGGCAGAGGCCTGTGGGGCCAGGCAGTCTCCGGCCCTACACAGCCTAAGACAAAGCTACTTCTGGTTGGCCACTGCAGAATGAGTTTCTTAATCATTTTATATGTCACTAATTACTCCTCAGAATGTCACCCAAGACCTAATGGTCAGAAGGCCTTAGCAGCAAAGGACACAGCGCAGCACCCCCTGCCCGTTGGGACGAAGGCAGATAACAGCGAACGTGGGGCGTGGCTCCTCAGTGCCCTTTGTACAGCGGCAGGGTGAGGACCCAAGCCACAGCGCCAGCGCCAGAGTGTATAGTCAGAGCTGCCGCACTGCAGCGTTCAGACTGCATCAGAGAGCTTTAATTTCACCGAAAACACAACATAGCTTTAACCGTGGTCTGCCCCAGAGTGCACGAGCGTCTGCGCTAAGTCTCAAGCTTCCACTTTTTAGCTCATCATACTTGTCATCATCTTTATACTCCAGTTAGTTCCCTACAAACAGCAGTGTACATTCAGGGGACACCGATGCTTCCTGCCATGCTGTTTCTAACTCCAGGCAGCACAGACCCCTCAGTGCTCTGGCTTTGAGCAGCCATTGTACCCAGGCCTGAGGATGCGGGCCCCAGGGTCTCCTGCAGCCCCGGCCTCTGCGATTCTGTCCCCCAGGAAGTATTTACCAGGTGCCTGTGCTAATATCGAGAAATACTGCCCTCTGTGTGTTTGGGATTTTTATTCTCTTTTTTTTATCATAGCTTTTTTTTTGTGTGTGTTTGTGTGTGTGTGTGTGTGTGTGTGTTGCAGTGTTAGTCTGTCACATTTGTTTTCTGTACTCTTTCAAAGGAAGTCACCCCTACGCTGCTTCAAGTGTTTTATGTTTGTTTTCCAGAGGGTCCAGCATAGCTCATGCACCTGCGTGTTCAGGCCGTTGACCCTTGAATAGCCTTGGGTTGGGCAGCACAGTCCAAGTCCACTGGCGCCCTCATTCTGCAGGTCTGGGGAGGATATTCAGCTTTTTTTTTTTTTTTTTTTAATTGTTGTTGCACATAAAAGCTTTAAGCATTACGACCATTGATCAATCTGGACTTGGTCTTGATGTGAGATCCTTCCAACATGGGGTTTGTTCTCAAAGCTTCTACTTGCAGATGTAGAAGAGTCTTCGTGTGCAACAGACAAACATGAGCACAGCTCCGTAAAGAACCCACTCGGAAAATTAGTGTGTGTCGGCTAACACTTGGCTCTGATAGTGCTGCCAGCACCCGTCACTTCCTGCCACCATCGACAGAATCCGGATCAGCCTGTAGAGAGCTCTGTGCAGCCAGGCTCTCAGACTCAGAAACACCGTCCGTCTGTCCGTCCATCTGTCACCCTCCTCCCACGGACCACTGAGCAGAGACGTTCTTAACTGACTCACTGCAGGGTTGGAAAGGATGCACACTCAGTATTCCCAGCGTTGAGTCTAGCCTTCCGGGAATCCTGAGTACAGCTCTCCTCCAGGCCTTAGAAGACTTCCGTCCCTTCACAAGCACACCAGTGCGCAGAAGCACACTTCCAAACGTTGGACCATGGTGTTGCTAAGCATGCTGGTAGCTCGCTGTACCTAGGCTGGGTCTCCACCAGGCACCACAGTGTGGGGTTGGTAATTACCGCCAACCTCGGAGCCAGTGGGACAGCAGGCCACAGGGTGGGTGGGTGCCCTGGGCTTTGATGTTGGCAGTGGTGACTTGTATATATCCTCGGGAAACTACATCACGACAGTGCAGCCAGCAGGGGACCCGCCACTCCCCGGATGGCTGGCTCAAGGCAGGACTGGTGTCCCCTGCCTCAGCAGAGATAACGGGCTCATGCGATCGGTGAGAAGTGGGTGCAGGAACAGTGTCCCGTGAACACTCAGACCCAGCGACTCCGGAGGACATTGTGATGGAGGGTGCTCCAGCCAGGAGGGTGGCTAAGGTTAGTGTGGGTGAGTGCTGAATATTGAGATAGCTTAGGATCTTGTCCTTAGCTTAGGAACAGTGGGGGGTTGGTATCCCGTGGCAGGATTCAACCAGAGTTGTCGACATCTTGGGGGCTGTGTAAATGGGGAATTCTAGCATGTTCTTGCCATAATAGGTGTTCCATCAACACGGAGGTGATCCCAATACCTGCTCCTACACCAAGACTTATGAGAATCCAGAAACCTCAAAGACTTGTGCCCTGGTCAGTCAGCGTAGGAAGCCAGGGAGGCAGGTAGAGCAGAGAATTCACCCAGCTGGAAGCACTCCAGCCAGCCTGCAGGCCACATTCACCACTGAGGAGCAGGCATCTGAAACTGGCTCTCAGAGAGGCCTGCAGAGCCTGAGTGAACCACAGGGAAAAGATGTCCTAACAGGCCAGAACCCCAAGACTGCTTCCAGACCCTGCAGAGGCACTAACTGACGGTGAAGAGCATTGCCCCCTTCCTGTGCTTAGGAACCCATCCCCCACCTTCCTGTGCTTAGGAACCCATCCCCCCATCCTGTGCTTGGGAACCCATCCCCCACCCTCCTGTGCTTAGGAACCCACCAGTAGGATGGGACTGGGACCACCTACCTCACAGGGCTGTTGTGAGGACTTTGAACAGTGTCAGATTTCTTTCTGAGATAAGAGGTTTTATTGTTTTGCAATTTCATTGTATATCATATTTAATCCTAACCCCCCCCCCCAGCGTTTCCTACCCTCATGCCGTTTTCCAAACCCATCTCTTTTGTGTCCTTATTTTTTCTTAAAACATTTTTTAAAAATTTCTTTATTGTCTCTTTGGGAGTTTCACATCATTCACCCCAGTTCTGCTCACCTCCCCCTCCATGCCCCCCATGTCACATTTTAATGTTTAGGTGAGCCAGATGGCATGATGGAGTCTTATAGTATGAGAACTGGGTTTCTATGTGTTAAATGAAGATAGCCGATGCATGTTGAAAAAGCATCTAGTCAGCTCAAAAGTTTTTTTTAGATCACATGGCTTTTTTTTTTTCCCCCTAAATACCAAAGAGGCTTACAGGTTTGCCAGTTACCAATATGAGACCAGTTGGTATAGGAGGTGCCAACCCTCAGGTCCTCTTGAGGCCAGCAGAGCTCTGGCAACTGTGTCTAATGTCCACACCAAGCTGCCCAGGCATAAGCATGGTGGGACAGCAATACTCAGATTTGAAGTGGGTGGAGCCGGACCACACCTAACCCATCCTACTCACCAGGCTGCAGATGAGAGGGGATGGAGGTTTGGCAGTCGTACCCAGCTCTTTCTCAGTGCATCTAAGCTGGGCTGGCTCCAGCCTCCAATCCCCCTTGAGGGCCGTGAAGTTGTCTTTTTGACAGATGGAGAGCAGGCCGTGGCATTGTGGGTTTTAAGGCTGACTGTTGGCATTTGAAGTCACCCTCCACCAGACAGAGGCTGGAAAGCTCAGCCTTATGACAGGCCAGGAGAGAGGGAGCCCAGGCTGTGGGATCTCTTGGTGGGAAGCTGCATTGTACCCTAGGAGACTTACAGGCTGTGTCTCTAAAGAATAATTCCAAGGGTGTGAGTGGAGGAGGGACAGGACCACCCTCCCGAAACTTTAGGGTGGAAATGAGCAATCCACACGGAGTGCGAGTCCTTAGCAGTAGGATTAGCAGGTGATTGCTCTGTTGCTGTGGCCTAGAGATTGTTCTTAACTTACTAAGTATAGCAGTGACAGGCGGTGTCAGAATCAGGCTAATGGGGCTTTTCAGGGATTAGACAGGCTGCCTTGTCTTTGGGCTTCCATGAATTATGGAACTGTCAGGAGACTGACTTGTCTAGTTGCAGGCTTTAGAGTGAAAGTTCCTGGGTGGAAATTGAGAACTGCACAGAGAAGGCTACATGGCAGTCGTGGAAGCATTCAGGGGGTCCTGCAGCTGCTGCAGGCAGGTGTGGCTGTTTGCAGAGGAGTGAGCCTTCAAGAAGGGCAGAAAACAGTGGTGGCCGCTGCAGGAGCTGCTGCTTAGGCCCAGGATGTACATTTTATTAATTCGTCCTATGTAGTTGCTAACTTGGGGGCTGGTGTATCAGGGAGGCCGTTTTTAGTGTCCGGTCCCCGAGGGCTCAGCCAAAACCCCTAGGTTGCCTCCCCGAACAGCCAGTGAGTCCTCCCTGTCCCTCCTCCCCTTGGGTAGCTCGGCTTTTACAGTGACACGAGGTTGGGGCCCGCAGCCTTCCCAGTGGGTGGGCAACTGCATGGCTCTGAAGCTTGTCCCTTGCTCATCCTGAGCATGGCCAGCCTCCATCCGGAGTGGAGGCAGCTTGTCTGACCCATTGCAAGGAGGGGGATCGTGGAGTAATTACTTCTTTTTACACACAGAAATGTTTATTTAAATATATTAAATGGGATTTTTCTTTCGCAGATACCGATTATTCTTTCTAATTCTTAAATAAAACTGTACTTGATTTCACTAATAAACAGGCGTGACTGTGTAGGACGTAGAAGCCATATGCGATAATGGTGTCCAGTTGAGTTCGGCCACAACAGCATCAGATTAGGTGTGTTTTGGCTCTCTTCTGAATTCCTGCCCTGGAACAGTGGTTCTTAATGCTGCGACCCTTCCTGATACACTTCCTCATGTTGTGGAGACCCCAGCCATACAATTACTGCATTGCTACTTCATGACCCTGATTTTGTTACGGTTATGAATGGTGATGTGAATATCTGATAGCAGGATGTCTGATACCAAACCCCAAAGGGGTCGCAACCCACATGTTGAGAACAAGCTGTGCTATCGGCGTATAGTGGTAAATTCCTCCGCCTTCTGAGAGAGCAGTGCAGGGTGCCACTGTAATCGCTGTGTCTGTGTGAGGTGCCGGCCTTCCAGGCACATAAAAGCAATATTTGCTGTTGCACCGAATCAAGCTGTGTGCTTTCTTAAAATGTGGCTGTAAGGGCATCATTTAGTTTCCAAAACTTCAGTTTGGGGTCACGTAGCTTAAACTCCCACCTCCACCCCCACAAGACAGGGTTTCTCTGTGTAGCCCTGGTTGTCCTGGAGCTCACTTTGTAGACCAGGCTGGCCTTGAACTCACAAACATCCATGTGCCTCTGCCTCCTGAGTGCTGGGATTACAGGTGTAACAAATAGGCCAGGTGGTGACAGCACATGCTTTTTTCCATTTATTTTTATGTCTGTTTTACCTGCACGTCGTCTGCACCACATGTACGTCGTGCCCACAGAGGCCAGAAGAGGGTGTCAAGCCCTCCAAACTGGAGTTACAGGTGGTTGCAAGCACCACAGAGGTGATGGGATCCGAACCCCGGGTTCTCTGAAAGAGCAGCCAGTGCTCTTAATGCCTGAGCCGTGCCTGGAGCCTGTGTGCCAGTCGTGGGAACACTGACATCTGGGTCCACCTCGCTAGGACCCGGTTACTAGGCTGTCGTCTCTGTGGGGGTGCCATCCTCAGGGAATGTGAATGTGTGTGGAGATTCTCTCTTGTGCCTCGACGCTCCAGGTCAGCAGGCTTGGTAGCAAGCCCCTTTGGGCCCTGAGCCACCTTGCCAGCCCTCATCTCCGGTCTCCTTCTTGGTTCTGAGGTGGTCTTGGTTCTTTAATGGAGGCCCAGCTGCTTCCCTGAGGCTCAGATGCCCTCTCCCTCTCCTCAGTGGCGCTCCCTGGGTCGATCCTGAAGGATAGCTTGACATGAGCTGGATGACCCCATCCTGGCAGCCCTGGTAATGGGAGACCTCTCCACACCCACACAAGGGTGCCTGTCGGGACAGCTTTGCCCCCTCCAGAGTCTCACCCCAGGTCACAGCTGTTAATAGCTCAAGCAACGGAGTGTATTTAAGCATTTACACAGCTCAGACTGGTGGCCTGTGAGCTGGGGCCGCCCTAAGCGCATCCTTGTGTGGAAGGTGATACCCACCTGCTCTGCCTCCAACACACTGGCTCTAGGCAGCTCTTGAACTCCCAACTTTCCTGTTTTTTGTTTTGTTTTTTCTTCATTGCTTTGGTTTGGTGTTTTTAGCATTGCATTGTAGCCCAAACTGACCTCCAATTCACTGTGTACCCCTCTGGCTTAAAGCTCCTGGTGGTCCTCCTGCCTCCATCTCACCAGTACGGTGATTACAGGTTTTGGTATGTGTGTGTTCTCGTGTGTTACACATGTTATGTGCATGTGGAAGCCAGAGGACAACCTAGGGTGTTGTTCCTCATCTCCTCCCACTTTTTGAGATGGTCTCTCACTGGTGTAGAGTTTGCCAAGTAGGCTTTGATGGTGGCCAACAAGACCCAGGGTCCCTCCCGTCCCCACCCCTCCAGTGGATGATACTCGGCAGCTTTTTATGGGGGTCTTGAGGGTCAAGCATTTTATACCCGAGCCATCTCTCCAGCCCATTTCTGTTTTATGGCCTAGGTGTTTTATTTCTTTTCGTATATGAAGCTGTCAGTTCACCGGGGATGGACTCTAGCTGCTCAGGCTCCTTTCTCGTTCTCACAGACTACCGTGGAAGTAGCCCGCGGTCGCAGCAGGTGAACCCGGGTGCCTCTGGTCTCCTTTCCCCTTTCCAGCTCTCCTGGCTGCGCACGAATTCTCTCAATAAGAACTTGCCCTTAACTGCCTTATAAGGCCTTAAAAGGGTGCCAACGGTATGTGGGACATCACAGGGCGTTCCTTTTTTGAACAGTGCCCATCCCCTTAATGACTACAACATCACCCTTGTAAATTGGAACAACTCCATGTTCCCCAAAAGGCCTGTGAAGCAGAGCAGGGCCTCTCCTCTTTCCCTTGGTATTTGTTGTTTCGGTGAATAACTGGAAGGTATAGTTGTTCTTATTTGTGGTTTTTTTGCTTGTTTCTTCTAAGACCATATCACTTTGTAGCTCATCCTTCGGGACCTTGTTTGCCCCGAAGTCTACCCTCGTCACTCACCCCTGCTCATGTCAGAAAGAAGCTGTTTTACCTAGCTGAGGTCCCACTGTGTCTGCCATCATCGTACAGGATCTGTTCCGTGTGCTCATCCACAGGTGCCTGGAATCTGGGTGAGAGAAACCGGTATAGGCTGCCTTAAATTCACCACAAACTGGTACCAAAACCACAAAGCAGCAGGCCACATCCAACACTTCTCCCAAGGCCTAGTTTGGCCACTGGCCATGGTAGCATGCAGGCCCTGGTCAGGCCTGGCTTTCACAAGCTATCTGCTGGTCAGGGCAGAGGCCACAGGGACAAACTGTGGAATGACAGCTCGCTGAGCTTACTTTATTTGGCAGTGTGTGGGGGGCTTTCTGCCGACCTCAGTGACGCCATGAGCCAATCTGGAGCACGAACCCTTCAGGCTGGGGTCCGTCCAGAAGGGGGAGCTAGTGCAGCTGCTCCGGGGGCTGCAAGGCCACTGTGGCCAGGGTGCCCTGTCGCGACGGGCATTGCAGACTGTTTTAAGATGGCTGTGGGGTATGCTGAAGACACAGTAGGGTGGATGGGTTTGGGGGAGTCACAACAGACATAGAAAACAGGCTGAAATGGAGAGTTCAGTCCGGGCCTTGGGATGGGCAGCCAGGCAGTGATGACACACACCTTTAATCCTAGCACTTAGGAGGCAAAGGCAGGTGGATCTCTGAGTTCAAGGTCAGCTTGGTCTACAGAGCGAGTTCCAGGACAGCCAGAGCTACGGAGAGACCCTGTCTCAGAAAAACAAATCCAAGCAAAAAGGTAACAGATGAGAAAAGGAACCAGCTCCGCCCCAGGCTTTGATGACACATGCCATTGACCTAGAGAGCCACCAGGAGGCTGTAGCTGGAGGTGAGGTGAGTCTGGGCACAGGGATGCTAGGGTGCAATGCGGGGGCGGGGAGCAGGGGGAGTATAACTTTAAAACCGGAGAACTTGGATGGGCCAGCTTGGCTGTACATGCTTGGAACACCCAAGGCTCAGTTTAATCCATACGTGCACTGGGGGCGGGGGAGGAGAGGGGACAGAGGAGAGAGTCCGCACAGGGAGATGAGTGGGCTCACTTAAGGACAGAGTGTAGTGAGGTAGTCCTTCTGTGGCACTGACCACGCCCATTGGGGGGTGGAGCCATGGGCGGAAGTGACCTGTGGAAGGAAGTGGGAGAGCCGGGAAAAGCTCTCTTTCTGGCGTGACTCGGATAGGAGAGGATCGGGTTGGATTTCCTGGTGTTCATCTGTCTAGTTGTAAGTTATTTCTCCCTGAATAAACATCTATTCGGCCTATTTGTTTATCCTGATTCTTATTTAACCACGATAAGTGGAAGGTGAGGAATGCCTGGGGTGAGCTCTGGCCGCAAACTGAGGAGGAACCAGGAGGATGGCCAGCCATGGGAGAAGTGCGAGAAGGAAATGCACCAGAGAACACCAGAGCCCAGGGAGAGAAGCGGACACAGCTCTGGACAGAGCCCTCCAGCAAGGGAGCTGGAAAAGGGCTGAAATCGAGAAGACCTGCCTGAAGACCTGGGAGGCGCCCCCAAGGCGAGCCCTGCCCACCTACAGCTGTGTCTCTGCTCTTGCTTCTGGCTGAGTAGATCTGTGGTCACCTGCAACATGGAACCTGCTCCCAGACAAAGACAGACTCAGAGGAAACAGCCTTGGGGCAAACTGCCTGAGGACAGCAAAGCCATCCTCAGCCTCAGGTGGTGAGGGGGTCACCAGGAAACATCAGGAGCAAGGAGCAGAGCACCAGGGGGACTGGAAAGTCGAAATAAAGATGGGGGCAGAGGCAGAGGCAGGTGGATCTCTGTGAGTTCAAGACCTGCCTGGTCTATAGAGCGAGTTCCAGGGCAGCCAGAGTTACACAGAGAAACCTTGTCCCAAAACAGCCTCCTGCCAAAAAAAGACTCCTGCAGAATGTTCCCTTTCTTCCACATGTGCCTACGCATACATGTATACAGATCCAAAATAGTAAATTTTTTTGGAGATAGGGTCTCACTATTTAATTCTGACTGGCATAGTGTTTGCCATGTAGATCAGGCTGGCCTGAAATTCACAGAGATATACTTGCCTCTACTTCCTGGGTTCTGGCACTAAGGAAGTACAACCACCACATCCGGCCAAAAAGGAAGAGAGAAGCTGACAAGACCAGACCAGCAAGAAGACTGGAAGAGATGTGGGGAACTGTCCAGAAAGTAAGTACACAACAAATAGAAATAGAAGTGGAGAGAGAGCCAGGGCCCCACCGTGGGAACATTAAATAGATAGGTCAGCAACTGATATAAAAGAGTAAGCCAAACCCCACAGCAAAAGACGGGGACTTCCGGATCGAGAGGGCCATCTCAGCGGCTGGGAACACCTCACGGTGTGAAATTCAAGACATGGACAAGACAGGAATCTGCAGGCTTCCAAGAAGAGTCGGTAGGTCACAGTACATGGTTAGGGCTCAGAAGAACTCAGCTGACTCGGGGACATGCCCGGAAACTGGGAGGAATGGAGCCCCCCCCCCCCAGTCTAGAGTTCCCAGTGCAG